ATGGTACAATTAGTGCTGGCAAAACTTTTGTAATGTGAAAATGTAAAGTTATATTAACAGTTTCGTAAGTTAAATATGATCTCAGAAAAAATGCCCATATCTCGACCCACAATTTACCCTTTCACAACGTGCATTAGCGAAAAATTTTTTATTAATAGAAAAGAAAAAGAGAATAATTATAAAAGAAAAAAAAAGAAAAAAAAAGAAATGAATAAAAACATTTATAAAAAAAAAAAACAACAAAAAAATAATAAAAAAAAAAAAAAAAATAAAAAAAAAAGAAATGAATAAAAAGAAAAAAAGAGAAAAAAGAAAGATAAAGAAAAGTAAAAATCTAAATACAATGGATGAAAGGTCAGAATGCGATAGTATCATAAATTTCTAAAATATAATAATATATAAGTTAAAATTACAAAAGTAATAGAGAACGAATAAAACATTACATTATAGTCTAATATAAATAATTTATTTCTATTTTCTAATACACGAATATGTTCATAAAATCGTTCTACGATAAACTTCACTAAATCTCGACATATTATATTATACACAGTGATGAGAATACCACCTCCTGACCTTTCAGCCGATTTATACGCTCCATTCGCAAATTTTCCTTCCACCGCTCCTACATAAACCCTGAATGCATACCTCTCGTCCAACACCACTGTTCTAAACTCATCGATTTTATCCTGACCTATAAACAAATTAATTGTTAATTGTTACATTGATAATTGTTGTTTTTGTGATTAGTAATTTACATATATATTTCTTTTGAATACTACGCTTTGCACTGAACAACGATCCTAATCCCAAAAATTGTTATAATAATGTCTCGTCCCAGATCTCCACTTTTCCTATAAATTAATAAATTAATGAATATATATTTCATCATCATATAAAGCTGGGGCCAGCATGTATCCTATTCATCATTAAATCCAGTAGGGCTGCTTCATTTCTGGATATCGATAACTGAGAAGAACATTCACTGCCGAAACAGTAGCCACGATATGCTTTCAATCCTCAGATAATTTACATCGATGTGATAGCGTAACTGTAGATACATAATGACTCGATATATTATTCAATAAGCTAACTTACTTGACAAGATCAATAACAGCACAATGCTTCTCAAATACTTGCCACAGAACTCCTTGAATCTTTTTTCCAACTCTTCTGATGTTTCTTCTTTGCTTTAAATAGAATTTCTTGCATTCTTTGCGACATTTTAAAAATAAATTATTAGTAGACACCGAAAATTTCATTTATATCCAGTATCAAAAATATGGACATAGTCCAAATGAATATGTCCAATTGAAAATGACTATGTTCCATATTATTTAATTGGTTCAAATGCCAACACTGTTCATTACATCACAGACAAAAAAAAGCATGCTGAAAAACCATTTCTAGTTGCATATCAAATAACAATCGCAGGCTCGGAACCAATAAATATCGCAGAATCTTCGGATTAAGGATCTACATCACAAAGAATTAAAGTTTGAGATATTCTATCAATTAGAAAATTAGTAAAGATTCTTTTCAATCGAATTTTAATCTGTAATAAAGCAGCTCACTTAGCTCTAAAACTTCG